ATTTTCTGGCTTGTTGTGAGTACTTCTATTTGAGTCTTTTTCTATATCTTATAATCTATAACTAGAACTACTGCTAGATTTGTATCTATTCTCTTTATTTTCCTCATAATATCTATTTGATTTTTTTTTACTGCTATTGAATCTTTGTTTTTTGTCTAGCTGTTGAGTCTTAGGATTATCTGTCTTATTGTATACTCTTTTTGGTTGGGTCTAAGAATTTATAACATTTTTGTTACTTACATTCTCTGGACAAAGTTGCCATTCTAGCTTGGTATTGTAATAGTATAGGCTTTGTCTTTGAACTTGGAAGGGATCCTCCTCTGTTTTAAAATAAAGGTAAGCTCTATGGCTCTGGTTTCTATTCCAGTTATTTGAAATATGCACTGCTTGCACTTTGTATTTTTTAAGTTGTATAGTAATAGACTATCAAAAGCTATAGATAGTATATTGTAGATTGTACTTTTATATTTATTTCTTTTTTCTAACTTGGTAGTATCAAACTTTTCTGGTATAGTTCTGTATGTTTTGTCTTGATCAAGGTGAATAGACCAGTTTTCTTTTAATAAACTTTTTTTTTTCCATATTGGTAACTATTTTAATATATACTGCTTTAGTTTAGAAGTTTTGCTGCCAAGCGAGCATAGATGCAGTGCCAAAATAATTTAGGTATTTTTTAATTTTCCCTGTGTTTGCTTCTTTTGGTAAATCCCATAGTGTAAAAAAAATAATGTAAAATGTTTGTTTCTCTTTGAGTAATGAATTCGCTCTCTAGAGCCTATGCTAAGTTATATATATCTTCATAGTGTTTTAGCTTTTTGTTGTTTTTTTTAGAAACATGTTTTTTATTATTTTGCAATAAACTTTTAATTTGTTTATTAAAGCTGTAGTCTAAAGTACCACATTCATTTTGTATTAGCGTGCTTTTAATTGCTTCTAATTTGTCTTCTGTATTGTGTGTTCTGTTCTCTTGTTCTAGAAGGTTTCTTTTGCAAGAGGCACTTTGAGACACTAAAATAGCATTATGAGCATTTGTATTTTTTTCTGGAGTTGGCTATGTAGAAGTGATTTCCATTGCAACTATTTTATCTTTGGTTTCTTTTACAATATTCTGTATTTGTTTGTTAACTCTATTTTGTCTTGTTGGAGTGCTTTTTCTTCCATCTAGGCTATAGGTATTGTTATTTTCTCTAATTGATATGATTGGTTAAAAAGGTGTAATTTTTATAGGTATTAGGTTTGTTTTGGCTCTGTTTGAGTCAGTTTGAGAATTCTTGATTTCTGGTTTGTCTATTTGCATCTTACTATTGTGACTGAGTTTGAGAAAAATTTCTTTCTCTTTTGTTAAATTTTGATCTCTTATATTTTTATGTTGTGCCTAGTCATATCGATATAAAACAGTATATATGATAGCTATAAGATAGAAGTCCTGTGTGCCTAAAAATTTTGCGACTTTTTTGTCTTGCTCTAGAATCATTGAATTTTGTTCTGCATATAAAGTTGCTCTTTCTGCTTCAGGTTTGTTAAAGAAGGCTTGGTATTCTAGAAGTTCTGGCATTTTACATATTGTATTTGCTTTTAAGTTTCGTATGTGTTTTTGTTATGTTGTTTGTTTGTCTACTGACAGTAACTTTGTTTGTTTATTTGCCTAATTTGAATATGTTTGTTTGTTTGTTTGTAATCTGCAAGACTGGGTCAGAGACAAATCCCCAAAGTTTCAAGAAAGTTTTAAAATTTTGATGAAAATTTAAATTTTTTCTACAGCAAGTTTCTAAGGCTATAAAGTCCAAAGTTGTTTTAGAAAACTTAGATTATTTTCTTTTGCTATATCTTTTATTTTAAGACCCAACTACTTGTTATCTTAGTAGAGTTTTGTTTAAGGCTGGGTTTTCTTTTAGCTCCAGATTTGGTACAGATGATTAGCAGGAAGAGTTTTTTTGAATTTGCTATATTTATTAAAACTTTATTAATATATATTATATATATATAAATTAGTAATTTTTTAGCTATAACTTTTTTATTAGAAGTTAAATTTCAGTTATAATAAAAATACAACTAGCTATATATATAACTTTTGGTTATTTATTTTAAATAGTCTGTTTGAGTTTTATACTAGCTACCATATCTGCAATTTAACTAAAAATTATTTACTTAAACTTTTTAATTTTTACAAATAAAAATACAAATAGCTATATATATATATATAACTTTTAATTGTTTATTTAATTAGTTTATTCTAGGTTTTATATTAGCTGCTATACTTGCAATCTAGCTAGAAGGTTACTTATTTAAACTTTCTAATTATAATCTAATTCTACCTAGTAGAATCTTCTAATTTAGTTATTCAAATTTTATTTGTACCTTAGAACTAATTACGTATTTATTCTTAAAATAAATTTATCAAAGTCTTTTATATTCTATTCTGGCTAATCTAATATATATTGTAGTTACTAAGGCTCCTCCTACTTGCAGTTAGGTTTTAAATATATTTAACTACCATGCTCTTGTAAAGTTTATTTAAAAACCCAATATTTATATATTTTACTTTTTCTAATTGGCTTGAACTTTTATTAGTTACAAACTTTATATAAGCTATAAAAACTTTAGTTTCTATTTCTAGATTGTTATTAAAACTAATTACCTAATAGTTGTTACTAAGTGCTAGTTATAGAACTGTGACTAAGATTTGTCTGATTTTCTATCTATATATTTTTAAAAAGTGGATGAACAACTGTTTTATCTACAACTAATTTTAAGATAGTTATCTTGAAACTTTTTTTAATATATAAAATATAATTTATAAATAAAATAAAATAAAAAATTTATAAAAAAAAAAAAGTTTGTATAAAAAAAAAAAAAAAATAGGTTTGTAGAAAAAAAAAGTTTACTATAAACTATACAATATTTGTAACAATGTTTTGTTGCAGAGGTTTAGCTTGTTAAATAAGTATTTTAGTATTTTAATACAATAATTTTTAGATATATGATTTATTGATTAATTTTTTTGTTTATATCTATATCTTCTTTATATAAAAATTTTGTTGATAACAATAATAAAAAAAAAGTTGGAAGAAAGCCAAGCTACTGTATATTTTTAAAACTTTGCCAATTTGCTTATTAATTTTATAATATCATTTCGCTAAGCTAAGCATTTAAATACATGTGATCAAACTTGATATATTTTAGCTCAATGCTGCGGATCAATCTAAGCCACACGTGAATTTCTGTAAATACTGTATATTGTGTAACCTATTGTATGTAATTATCTACTTAAAAAGACAATAATTACATAATATAAGATTGGGTTGACAGGAGTTTTCAAAAACTGTCACAATGTAGTACAATGTACAGTGTTCTCCTATCCATTAATTAAAAAAATCAAAATCACATAATCGCACACTGCTTTAGACGTACTCTAGTACTCTAGTTTGGTCTCAACCTTGCCTGTATTTTACGTTTAATGATTTTCCATTCAGAATATTCTAAATAGTAAGCACTCGATTTTTATTTGGACTAAGTGTCAATGTCAAATAAAAAAATATATATATGGACAATATGAATATAATAATTTGTTTATATATATAAATTATAATTTGTATTGCCGAATTAGATGCGTTTATACAGTACCTCTATCTACAATATGCGTAATTATTATTATTATATCATTACTGCCAAAAAAACCGCACTTTTTTTTTTAGTTGAATTATATAATTATATATATATATATATATATACAGTATATATATAGTTTTATATAAGTTTTTAATTTGGCACTTTTACATTTTTATATAAAAAAGTAGAAGTTTTATATTGCACCTATATTAAGTTAGTGCTTTTATGAATAGCGAATACTAATGCTTTTTTTGCACTGTATAAAACTATATCAAGATTGTGGCTATATCAAGAATTTTATGCCTAAACCAGTATTGTCACTTGGCCATTTGGCTTGCCAAAAGTTTGTTTGGTCACAAAAAATTGCCAACAATGATCTAAACCTATCTTGGAACATAATTACGTCTATAATTAAATTACACGAACGCACTTAGATGTTCCCTTAATGTTAAATACTGTAGCATTATCCCATAAATTACCTAAAAAAAGTATAAAATGACGGACTTTATGCAACTAGATGGCACACTATAACATTTAAATGAATCTTAAATTATTATAAAGTTATCAAAACTAGAGAACTTTATTAACAACAGAGTACAAAGATTTACTTTATAAGGTAATAAGTGCTTAATGTACAGCAAAATTCAGAAATTTAAATACGTAACGTACAGTAAGTATATATACAACTATGAATTAGATTTGTCACACAACTATTTAATGTCAATATGTAACTACAGTAATGTATTACTAAAATGAAACCTTCTTGTATAATTTTTGTAAATTTTAATCCTTGTAAAGTTGACAAGAATGAAAACTTTTTTTCATAAAATATTTTCACAACTTTTTTGGATAAACTGAAATATATTTTTGGATTTAATATAAGAAAAGAATAAATAAACTAATTTAGGTAAAATCGCTCGTATAATATACCGCATATAATTAGAGATATGAATGATCCGCAGTATTTGCGTAATCTTGAACACTAAAATGTAAACCGATAAAATTCACAAATTTAGTAGAATTTCGGAAAAAACCATGTGCCCGATCAATCCAAATCAAAAATCCCATACATTAATGGAATAAAAGGCTAATTCAATAAGTTTTGTTTCGTATATATATGCACGTTTCCTTCGCGCCTCTTAATACAATCTATATCTGATTGATTGATGTATGCTGTGAAACTTTTCATGTTTTAGTCACATGTTTTGAACAGTTGTGACTAAGCCACTTGGGTGACTCAAATAATGTATTTACACAACTAAATGCGTCAAAAATGTAAAATTGATTTTAACTTTTTTCTTAATACAAGTTCTAACTTGAACTTCAAAAAAAACTTTATTTTTCAAGTAGCGCGTATATTAGATAAAAAAAAAAATATTTTTTTTTTCACAATGTCACAACCAGTACAACCTATAGTAAAAATTTTTACTCCACCATCGTCTCCACCTACGATGACAGGTCAAGAGGAATGGGATAGTGTTGACGATTTTTCTGTAGATTCTTTGCGTGCTGAAGTCTCTTCTACTTCTACTGCGCAAAGTATTTTTACACCTAGTTCGCCTCCTGAAGAAATAAATGGCGAAGAGCTTCCTAATGATTGTGAAGTACCTAAAAATTCATCAACTGAACTTCTACAAAAAATGGGGTTAGTCTTATATAGTTGATTTTTTTTCAAAAAGAATAAATAAATAAAAAAAAAAAATGTGTAAAAGAATAACTGTTATTTTATGTTCGGGGATTCTATTCACATAAAATATTCGTTGATTTGTTTATTATTTCCTTAGTTTCTCATTCACTTATGTCAACAACTAAACACATTTTTCCATAAAGGCATTGGTTTTATAACACGAAGCTTGTTCAATATATGAAATCAGATGAAAGGTCAAGGGTCAAACAAATTTATTCAACGAATTCTATATGGATGCTTGGAATTGAATATAAATTTCCGGGTAAATTAAAAATTAAATTGATCCGTATTCCAAATATAATTACCTTTTCGCGTAATTGATGATTATATGCTTTATAGAGGATTGCGGGACCGTCAACCTTCCGAAGTTTGATAATGATAAAGCTCGAAGTAGTCGAGCATCTTCATTTTTAAATTTAGTTTTTGGTTCTTCTGAAGAAGATAATGATTATGATGATACGTCAGCAAATGATCGAAATCATAATGATGATTCTATTCAATCACATAAATTAGGCAAGTCTCGTTCTTTTTCACAAGCTGTATATGGTGTTGACGGCCAACATTTAGGTGTGCCTCATCCAAAAGCTACCCCAAGGGTAACTCCTAATTCGTCGTTGACGGGGCCAAATATAGTTATCCAACGTTTAAGGACATTATCCTTCTCCCAAAAATCTCCACCTGAAAATAAATCTTTTCCTGATTTATCAATTTCAAATACTGAGAATCGTGTTAATTCTGGATCTTCGAATCCTGTGTATAGGCAAGGTGGTAGACGGTTACATTCGTTTTCGTTTATCAAAAAGTCTGATTCTCCTGATATTTCACAAATGGATTCAAAATCTTCTTCCATAATTCAATCTGATAATTCAATAATTTCCACTCCAACAAATAATCATTTACAAGCTCCTAATCCAAAACGTTCTTCAATAATTGCTCCAAATTTTTTACAAAAATTTTCAAATTCAAATCAAGGGGTTGAATCTTCAAATTTAACTGCTCACGGTATTTTTTCATCAAAACCAAAAAAGCCTCGTCGAATGACTTTTGCAGGAATTTTCTCTGGTAAGGAGAAAAATAAGCTTGGTAATTCTTCACGTAAATTATATCCACATGCTGAAATAGAAAGTGATGTGGATTCTAAATTTTCTGGAAATGAATCAAGGCTTAAGTACACAAGTTTTGAAGATATTGATAATTCTAGAAATCAGATCGCCGAAATTTCTTATCCTGAAGATGTAATATATAGCTCTGGGGAGAGTGATGACGGTGACATCAATTCAAGAACTGATGAGGTTGAATTGGATGCACTTTCTGGTGATAATGTTTCTGTGGAAACTGTGACAAGAGAATCTATTTTACAAAAAGGCATTAAATATTTTAATTTAGATAATAATAACGTTAAAGATTTCTCAGATGATAATATACGACAAACTAACTTGCAAGTTAATACAGATTCTTTGCATAAAAGAAAGATATCCGATGCTGGATCTGTTAGATCAACTAGTTCATTTCAGTCAATATCAACACCAACTAGTCTTTATAAACTTGACTCATTTGGTTCAATGTCACCAAACCAAAAAAAATTGATGGACTTTTATTTGGATTTTCAATCAAGAATTTTTTGTTGTTATCGAAAAGATTTTCTTCCTATCGAACCAGCTTTTCATACTACCGATACGGGTTGGGGTTGTATGCATAGAACTGGTCAGAGTTTACTAGCTCAAGGGTTTTTGTGCACCCTTTTAGGGAGAGGTACACCTGTTTACTAAATATGATGTATTGCAATTATACTTTGTTAAATTAATATGATGATATATACATTTTTATATTTTAATTTATGGCCATTTATTTCATATAGACTGGAGATTACATAATGACCAAAAAGAATCTGACAAATTAATATATCGCAAGGTATTATAATTATATTTAGATCAGTTATCGATCATATTTTTAATTTTAATATATTTTCTTATATATTTAAAAGATTTTGCGATGGTTTATGGATGGTCCGGAGCCCGAACAATACTATTCTATTCATAACATTGCACGTACGGGAATTGCATTGGATAAAAAGATTGGAGATTGGTTTGGTCCTGCTACAGTAGCACACGTATTAAAGTAGGATCCATTCTTAAATTCATATTATCTTTTATTATCATTTTTATTCTAAGTTAATTGTTTTTAATAAAATTTATTACAGGAGATTATCTTTGAATCATAAAGAATGCCCGCTAACTATTCACATTCCAGCAGATAACGCCATATATAGGACGGAGGTGATTAATATAGCTATGGGAGAATATGATAACAATTTATTCAGTGAGCAAAAGGAATGGAAACCTATACTTATATTACTTTCTGTTAGGTTTGTATTTAGCCTCTTACTTTTTTTACATTAGTTTTGAGTAAAATTTCTATAACTTTAAATTTTTTTTAGATTGGGTACAGATAGGTTTAATCCAAGCTATTTTGGAAATTTGAAGGTATTTATACATAAAAAATTCTATTGTATTAATATTAATAATTACAAAATATTGGTTATTAATACATTCCTCAATATGCAACAATTTCAAGACTCTTTTTACATTCCCTCAATTCTTGGGAATCGCAGGCGGTAGACCAAGAAAGTCTTTATATTTTGTAGCTGTTCAGGGTATGCTTACAGAATATAATATATAGTACATTTTTATCATTGATAATTTACAATCGCTCAATTTATTCATATATGGTTAGATGATGAGCTCTTATATCTTGATCCACATTTTGTTCGACCTGCAATAAATCTCAATAAAACCACAGAATTTCCGCTTGAAGTATGCATTTTGTTAATTGATTTGTATGTACAATAGCTATTTGTTTATGATTATTAACACAGCATAACATTTATTAAGGATTACCACTCTACAATTGTTCGAACAATGGATATCAGCGAAACGGATCCCTCAATGCTTTTGGGATTTTTGTGCCAAAGACGTCAAGATTTTGATGACCTTTGCGAACGAGCTGAACGGGTAATTTTAAAATCTTTATAAAATAAATATTCTTTTTAAGTATACTAAGTCACATGCTATTTTTTTCTTTTGCAGACAATGAATCCGCAATTCCCGATTTTCACTATATTGAATATGTCCCCCATGCGAGAAACTTGGCTGAGCACTTCGTCTATGAGTGAGATGTCAAATACTATTGCAGATGCAGAAACATTTCATGATGATTCAGATGTTGATGATGATCTCAAAGAGATAATAATGGATGAAGATGATATTATTGTAGGCGAGGAAAATTATGAACTCCTATAAATTTCATTCACTGCCAATTTTCGATTCATAATAATCCTAAGGGACAATTACATAGAACATGTGACTTGTCATTAAAGTCATATGAACAGGCAATTTTGACTTAACATTCAAACCATTTAAACCATTTAAACCATTTAAACTGTATTTATATTACTAAATGTATTTATAATTGTTTGTTATTGATTTAGTACAAGATTAGAAACATTTAAAATGTCTAATAAATGATGTACATAAAAATTAACTATATACTTTTAATAATCATTTCTTTATTTGTAAAATTATAATATTTTCTTAGATCATATTCACGATACAAATTTTGAATTTGTATGCTAACGAACAACTTGCAGAAAAGTTATGTACCAACGTATGAAAGTGTTAGTTTATGGGTATAATAAATAATATTAATTTAGCTTTGCCAGTTAATTATACGTACCAGTTTCACTAGACTCATACAGTGTTACAAAAAAAATATTAATAAAAAAGCAATGTCTGTTCAGCCACATTACGTAAAAATTACATCTATGTGCGTACATGACTATAAATACGAAACAATAATGCATCCAATCAAATCATAATAAAATTAAGCTCCGGACACAATACTATGCATTCTTACGCGTCTATGGTTATGCCAAGTACGCCTATCTGTGTTATTTCGAGATAAAGGGGCAATTTCAGAGTTTGATTAATGATTATACGTATTACGTATAAATTCACAGATATATGGAATACGCATTATTCCGAGATGCCCAAGAGCTATATTGTTTTTAAAGGAACCTATTTCAAAACAATGCCTATGGCCGTTATTTTTCAGGTTTGCGATATGTTATGCAGTATTACAGTATTTTAAAAAAGAATATTACTAACTATAACTGGTGGTGATTATCACCGGGTACTACAGTATATCTCAAAAACCTACTAGCTAATTCGAGATATATATATACTAAGTACTTTCATTTGAATTTTCTTATTGCACTAGCCATACTTCCCTGATCATCCCTATTTAAGGTTGGCAAGTAGGGTATTTTCGGATTTTCGCAAAAATGTTCAGAATCTCCAAAAAGCTAACCTAACCTATATATCCAACCTGCACTCCAACCCTATAAATAAGAGGCGATGATCACCACTAGTTATTTGTAGCAAAAATCTAAAAAAAAGAATTATATAACTATTAAATTGTTTATTTAATTTGAAAATCAAATATATACTAGGAAAATGCGTAGCATTATAGATCCGGAGTATATATGATAATCGTCTTATTACAAAAACGCGTGAATATGCATATTTTTGTTATAATAATTTAACAAATTTGGACACGCGTGCGGACAGACAAAAAAAAATTTCAAAATTACGTTTCTGATATGATCATCATAATGTTTATGCAGATACATAAAAAAAGTAACTTTTTTTGGTCGAAGCGCATCAAAAACGTAATTTTTGTATCACTTAATGCATTGAAAAGGATCCTCCGCTACACTCCGGATCAATTAAAACTATTAGTACAGGTTTGGGAGATATAGTAAACTTTAAAACCCTAACTGTAACACATTTTTTAATGGATTTTCGTACTAAACAAAATCAATCTTTATATATATACTAAATATAGTTAATTTTATTGTGGCAAATTTTAGTACGTCTTTGCGTACGTAACACATTTTCGTTTTTTAAACTATCGTAACAAATGGGCCTCGATTTCTAAATTTTATTTAGAATACAACATTGTATATTTATTTTGTAGTCTGATCGTAGTAAACTGTCGAATTGAAAAATATTATCATTACTACAGTATAAAAAATGATAACGAAATTTAATATATGGGTTGTTGCCTAGCAAATCGGGACGATTAATCATTTTGATGCAAAATTTGGTATTGTGATA